ACATCCTCTCAGTAGCAGAAAGCCCCGCAACTGAATGTCCTAACCAGGGCTGGCTGTCCCTTCTGAAGGGGACAGACTGCTCTGTTATAGCCCCAAACTGCTGTCAACACAAGTTTGACTTCCACGCATGCAAATCCTGACAGATACTCCCGAGGGAGAGTTTTGTTTGGGCTGGAACTGGGGGAGTCTCAGCCCCCAAGCTGGAGTCCCCAGATTCCCAGAGCCTGGAGGCTGGCTTCAGGGAAGCAGTGACTCAGCTCTTCAGGTATTTTAGACAGAGCAGGAAACTATCTGCCGTCTGGCGTGCGGGCCTTTCAGATGAGATATTCAAGATTATAAAGCACTGTCTTCTGTCTATAATTACCAGAGGCCTAATTTTCACAGCTTAGGTGCTTTCAAATACATGCACATTCATTGGCATCGCACTCCCAAATCCCCAGGGCACAGCAGTGGATCCAGGAACAGGGCAAGGGGGGTGAAGTCATACACTTCTTTGGCCGCACCACGAATATGCGGTGAGCTTTGAGCTGACTTCCCAGTGAGCACAGCCTGCTGCCAGAGTTCAACACATGCGGTGAACTCTGAGCTCCCCAGAAGATTGGGGCAGGGTCTGGCAAGAGCCCCTGCTTTTGCATAGCCCCAGAGCCCAAGGGTGAAGAAGGCTGCTGTTCAACCTTTCCCTCCCTCCCTCAGCAGAAGGGGAAAGGAGGGGATGAGCATGCCCAACCAGACACCCACCCCCAGAACTTAGGAGTAGCATAGCCAAAGGTGGGAGGGGAGGGATGTGACTATACCTTCTCTGGTTCTGCCCCTGCTCTTATAGATGTCAGTCATTAACTTCATGGATAAATTAAGACAGTGCATACTTTTGCTTTCTGCTCTGGATGTCTGACCTCTTTTAAACCAGATCCTTAAGATCTTCTAACATTGCTTGCAGTAGCAGATTTCCTGGTTCTCTGAAGTCACAATGTTTCCTCTCTGTACTGTTGTGCAATGTTTTCTGTGCAGATTGACATGGTGGCTACTCTCCAGTACTCCCAGAGTAGCCGAATTTCAGTGGGGATGCATGTAGGGTCCATTTAAGTGAGGGTCTCTGTCACTTTGCTCCTAACAGAGCAATCACACTTGCCCTCTTCCTAGATTTGGTCTTTATTGACAATTGTAATGATGACAAAATTTCAACCTGAGCTAAATTAGTCCCAGAGTTTCTCCTTAGGGAATTGCTTTGTTCCTGTCCATAGTTCTTCTGCCTCAGGGATACTTTCAAACAACTGTACTTATCATTTGAAAGTAATGGGATCCTACAAGATCTGATGTAACTGGGTACCAGCGCTGTTTTCTCTACCAGTTTTTTTCCTGGATCCTACTTCCTACTCTGGCTTCTCAGGGAACCCCCTGGCCCCCTCCTTCCCTCATCTGGCTGCTACTTCACCTGCCATGTCTTTGGTTACTTTGGGAGACTGCCCTTACCAGCATGACTTCCTCAGGTTCTTCTTCTTTCTGCCTCAGTTCAGTTCATGGGGCTTGCTTGGTCCTCTTACTCTTAGTCTCTGGGCCTCTGGCAGCCAGCTATCAGAGTCTCTGGGGAGGCTTTGTGTCTTCTTCCCCTGACTTGACCCTCCCAAATATGCAGTCTTTCACAGAGCTTTTAACTAGCCCACTAATCAATTCTTTCCTCACCATCACCAACGCTAATTGTGATCTCCAGCCTTCTTGTAGCCATGCCCATACTTCAGGGGTCTTACTCGTAACTCCATTCACCAGGCTGTGTAGCCCAATTTTGGCTTCAGCTCACTGGGCCCCTGGCCTCTGCAGGGCTCAAAGCGCCAAGTGCTTCCCAAGCACCCCATGTCCCCCCACCCCCCTTCAGTCACTCCCAAGCCTCTGGTTGTTACAGACCCAAACAGGCATAACTCAAAAAACCACTTAGCTCCAGAGACCTTTCTGCATAGCTTCTTCCTTTCCAGAAATCAGGGTCAGAATACCCCTCTAGCCCTGGAGCTCTGTGGATATCTCTAGACTGGCTCCACCATTTCTGGTCAGCAGACCTCCTTAGCTGGGCATAGGGGTTGCTAATCACCTCACCAGCCCTCCAGGATTTTGCTGCCTACAGTTAGAAGGCTGACTCTGCTGACTGGGCTTTGCAGCCTATGGCTTTGTAGTCCTTTACCTCTTCTGCCTGCCTGCCAAGTAACAGGGGGAGGGACCCCATTACATCTGGATTTCAACATCAGTCTGAGAAATAGCTCTGTACCTTTAGGTTGGGTTCTGTGATTGACTGATTGGCATTCCTGAAAGTCTGTGCTGCTCCTCCCATCCAACACCTTGCCTAATCCTAGCCTCTTGTCACAAGGACACAAATGAAGCTAATGGCAAGCACAGTAAGAACAGGATGTTGGTATGTTGTTTGTCAAGTGCTTTGGGATGAAGGGCACTCTAGAAACATGATTCATTACACTGATTCAGGATTATTCATTAAAACTTAATGATTATCATTACAGTAATGATAAATCTCTCTTGCATTGTAGCACTTGTGCTATGTTATAAAACTAAGGGATAGAATAGGAAGAAATAATGTTTTTAAAGAAATAAAATCACTCATTTGCTAAGCAGAACTTCCTAATTTGGCAAACTAGGGTTTGATTTTCTTTTACACGAAACTGAAGCCATATTAGATTGCTCCTAACCTTACAATGAACAAACACCATTCAAACAGTCCCAAGAGCCCTAGAAGCAGAAGCTGGGTACTGTATAACAGAATGATATCTCTGAGATGTAGTGATTTACTAATTAAAACTACATCTATCATGTATTAATATCTTGCATTTATATTTTAAATTAAATGAAGGTGGCTGAAAAGTCAATTGCAAAAGCTCTCTGATAGCTAAACGAATGAGATGCAGAAAGATTAATTTAGAACCCTAATAGAGGAGGTGTTTATAAAATTGCTATGAAGCCACACCAAATTACTAGCTTGTTACTGAAACTTGTGAAATATGTCTATAAAGGCCTTTAATTATTCAACCTGAATTAGAAATGAGCTGCCTTAGTGGGCATGTCTACATGTGCATTAATGGGCTTTAGTTAATGTGCATTAAATCTAGTACTTCTGGGTATTTATACATGTGCTCCAGGAGGCAGCCGGGTACTTTAATTAGAGCAGCTCTGAGGGACACTCTAATTAAAGTGCCTGGAGCAACACGTGTATAAGCGTCTCTGCCCTGAAAAACAGTGGCGGGCACACTTTAATTAAAGTGCTGAATGCCATTTTTCAGCAGGGGGACACTGATATACATGACGCTGGAGTCTGCTGGTGTGCAGTAATTACCATGCTTCAGCAGAGTTGATTAATTGCACATAATTACAGCATGTCGGATCAGCCTCAATGCACCCTGAATTGTGAGGTACTAAGAAAATGCGCATTAGCCTGCTTTAATTCATATTAACCAAAGAGCATGTTTTTTAAGTGATGTGTTAATGTGCATTAAAATAGGTGAATATGCATTAAAGCGCGCATGTAGACATGTCTAGTATGTTTTTGGTTTAATCCCACATACTAGTTTACAAAGCCTCAGATGGCCCACAAAGTATTGATCCACAGAGACTATAATAATAATAATCTGTATGAGCTGTGAGGAGCTCAATCAGACTAAAACATAGAAACTTTTTTTTCTCTTGTAAATACTTTTTGCTGGTTTCTTTGTAAGGTCAGCGTGTTGGAGGGAGGAGTTAGTCAATGAATTTTATTGGCCCAAGTTATGCAGGAGGTCAGACTAAGCAATCACCAGTGCTCTTCTGACCCAAAATTCAGAAAGTGTCACTGTAATAACTTTAATCAAACTGACAGGAACACATATTGCAGAAGAAAGAGAATCTGGAGGACAGACAAGGAATTCAGCTTGTGTGTACATGGCTAGGAGTGCTAACCTGCAGCTGGAGCAGGTCTACAAAGAGTTTCTGTACTAAAGACTCAGTTTAGTTTGATAAGAATGGAATCTTCCCATGCTGCATGAAACATTCACAGGGTACAAAATCCTTGGGATAACCTAAAAATATCAAATACCAATTTTGAAGGTGTTTCTCCTTGAGTAGTCTAACTGACCAGTTCAAACTAAGTGTTATACCAGGTTGCGGACAGCCAGGTCAGAGGCTACTTGGGGAATCAAGGTGCCAACCAGGGTTAGGAGGAGCAAGCAGAAACCAGGGATGAGGCAGGTCAGGAAGCTAGGAGGTCAATTGAAGGGCAGGGTCTAGGAACAAGCTGAGTCAGGCAGCTGGGAGATCAGGCAGGGAGCAGAGTTGGAGAGATAGCTGGGTTGAGAAGCCAGGAGAGCATGCAGAGAGTGGAGGCACAGAGCGAGCTGGAGGGTAGAGCAAAGCAGTCTAGACTGAGCCCTGTTACCCAGACACTTCTTGTTTCTGCCTAGATTGTATGGGGGAAATGGAAGGTCACCTGACCCTGATCAGCCACTCTATTGCCAGGGAGTGGGTGGAGGGGTAGGCTCTGATGGAGGTTCAGCTTAGCCTTGTCCAGTCTGGGCAGTCAGTTGTAGGGTGGTAGGCAGGGATTAGTGGCACCATGTTTCTCTTAAAGGGCCTGGCTGCTTGTTACCGGTTTCTGGCCTCTTAGCTTTGTTCCCATATGCTCAAGGTATCAGCCACAGGAGCTGTTATCAACTCATACCATTACATTCAAGGATAAACTGCTCTGGAAGAACGTCATGGCTTTCCAAGTGAATGAAACCGCAACAAGTCAACAGCATCCTTCCTAGAAACCCCCACACCCTCAAAAACCAAGCAAACTAACTCTCTAGATACTAAACCTAACATAATTCATGTTGAGAATATTTTGTTAGGTCAGAGGAGGACATGATACTTAACAATCTTTCTGTCCCCAAATGCCAGATTTCCCATTCTTTGATCCCCTCTGTTAGAAATACTAGATCACAAGGATCACACATGCACATGATGTGTTACAGCTTAAATAACAGATTCTTGCATGGCTTCATACATTTTTTTTATTGAAGTAGCTCTTAAGTCCAATTATGAAGGATGATGCTAAGTATTATCTGAGCAAGTGACACAAAGACCACCCCTAGCAATTTCAATTTTAGACCATACACAGAGGGTGACACCTGGCAGCATTCATATGTTATCCTTGAATTTTGGTCCTATTCATGGTGATGTGCATAGTTCAGGATTAGGAAAAGATAAGTAATTATTTCTTTAAAAGTAGAAGTTATTTTCCTTGGTTTCTTCTACTATGATGAACAACAAGTCTGTTCCAGCTCTGACTTGGTCATATTTTGCACACATTGCCTCTCTGAAGGATCTGGAGACTTTATTCTTGATAAAGGTGATTTTTGAGAATGTGGTTGTCCATTTTTGGGCTTGCATAGCTGGGTTGCTTCTTGCTGCTTTCATTCTCTCTGCCATCACCTGCATTTAATACCTCATGTCAGTCTCATTACAAGAGTCAGAGACTAGATGATGCAAACAAAGGGCAAGATTTGTAAAGGGTCTTAAGCACCTCATTTCCATTGAAATCTATGCAACTTAGGACCTAAATACCCTTAAAATAACTTTTACAGTTCTGAGTTATCATCTCTTCCCTAGAGATGCTCTGTCCAGGTCAGGGAAGAGGCCCCTTAGCTGAGCAGCAGACAGGATGGATACACGGCTGCTTATCATGTTGTACTTAGCTCTGTATAAAGAGAGTTTACTGTAAAGATCCCAGGAGTTTCATTCACTAGCAGCATGTTCATGTAACAAACTTACTTAGCTCTGCACCACTCTTCCCAGAAGAGAGGAGGGAATTGAGTGCACTATCTGCTCCTCAGTCACTCTTCATCCTGCACCTCTTCCTCATTGTCATGGTATTTGTCCCATGCACCAAAGATACGGCTTGCAGAACTGGACGTGAACTCATTATTATCCAAACATAGGTATTTCAGGGACAGAGTGTTTTCAATTAGTTGGATGAACTCCTGCTCACAGTCATCAGTAATACCACTGGCTTCAAGGCTAGAGGAAAACAGAAAAGTTTCTGAAACAAAACAATGGGATTACTGTTGGAGACCACCCAGCGGAGGCCCCCTCTCCTTGTACATATTCTCTCATCTCCTACATGCCACCTATAATCTCAGTTTTGTTATACAGATGGGTTCTCTCTCCTCCAAATGCTTTGCAATCTCATGCCTGGTCTGTCTAATGATTTCTTGTCCTTAGGCATTTTCTAGAGGTGTACTGATACATTGGTCCCATATCGGATTGGCACCAACATAGGGAAAATTGAAAGTATCAGAAATCAGCTTTTTTGCCTGATACAGTCAATAATGTAGCTGATAAATGCCCCATGCATAAGTGCAGCTGCAGCATGCACAGGGCCAGGAGTGCAGCCTGGCAGCTCAGAGACCAACATCTGGCTGGTAAGCCTGGTATGGAGGAAGGGGAGGGGTGTGACAGCTGAAAATTATGTCTGATAGAAGTGCTTGCTGAAGGCTCTATGAAGATTAGATGAAGTGTTTTGCTGTATTTGTTCAGATACTAAGCTATATGTTGTTGTTAAGAGCCTAATTAAAGTCAAAGATGTAGTGAGGCCTTGTATGTAATGATGCCTAGTAAATTTAACAAAGCCTTGAAGTAGTAACCCCTATGGCATAGTTAAAATTAACCTTGTCAAAAGAATGCAAGGCTTGTACTGTTATTGGTCAGTCCTAAGAATAATTATAATGGGAGAATCTGGACGGCTGTAAGCTATTAACATAGCTCAGAAGTTATTAATTGGCTGGCACATCCAGAAATCATTTAGAAGGAAGATGCAGCTTTGTGAAAAGGACTAATTAGCTGCTGACCTGGATCAGTGGGCCAGTGGATCTTGAGGAGCCCAAGGACTGAATACCAGGGTCCTTCCCAGTACCCTTTGGACAGTGCTGATTAGGGACACCTGACTTTGTTGAGCTTTGCAGAAGAGAAACGTGTTGTACATCAGGCATCAGAGGGGACTGCTGCTAAGTTGCTGATGTGAATTATTATTGTCTGTCATTGTCTGTCTTATTATACTACGTGTAGTCATGTTTTTGTTAAATCAATAAACCTTTCTTACCTTTCTACCCCCAACCATACTCTCAATCCCGAACCCTCCGTAGGCAGCTGGGACAGTGGGGGAAGGGGTGTGTGGGGGGCGCAGATCGAGGCCCTGGGGCTGTGGCAGGCATTGCTCAGCTGGGGTGGGGTGGACCCAGGACAGAGCCACAAGCAGCTCATCTGGGGGGAGGCTCTTGTCGCTGCACACACACTGGGAAAGCGTGGGGTGCATGTGCCCCTGGATCTGCACACAGGTTGGGGAGGGTGGGCTGGGCCCAGGGGCTGCGCTGGGCTCTTCCTGGTGGGATGCTGGGCCAGGCTGTGCTGCACTCATGACATGCGGCAGTGGTACTGGGAGGGGACTATAGGAGGGCTATGGTGAATTTTGGGGTGGCTTCAGCTTCCCCCACAAGCCCGTTCCCAGCACTGCTGCCGGCCACCTGGAGCACAGTGCAGCCCAGCCCGGCCTGCACCAGGAAGAACCTGGCGCAGCCCAGGCCCCAGCCCACAGCGGCATCCTGACCCACCCTGTGCAGATATGGGGCCCTCCCTTCATGCCCTCCCAGGGTGCACACAGCAGTGGAGCTGTTCACCCTCCCCCTGCACCCCTGGACAAGCTGCTTGAGGCTCTGTCCCAAGCCTGCCCTGCCCCGGCTGAACAGCGCCTGCCTCTGCCCCACTCCCTCCCCCACTGCGGGGGCCTCGAACTGTTCCTCCATGCCCCTCCCCTCCCCCCACCCTTTCCCCCACACCAGATTTACCAGTCTGATGCTGGTCTCCACGCTGCCTGGCTGCATGTTGGCAGTTGGATCGGTATCAGCTGATATGGCTCCTTAAAAATTGTCCATTGGTATCTGCCCAGAAAATCTCTATTGGTGCACCCCTAGCATTTTCTTCATTTAGGGGATTATGAAAACAAAGAACAACAGAGCATACTGTAGCTTTGCATAGAACCCATGCTGCTTTACTTATGGTGTCATGAAAAGAAAAGAAATATAATGGAGCCTGGACATACTTTAGTATCTCAAGACGACTTTCCTTATCTTTCAGGGCAGAGCACAAGACTTTCACTCCACTGTTGCTAAGGTTATTAAAGCTCAGGTCAAGTTTCATCAGGGTGTTCATCTTGGAGAACAGAGAGGTGAGGGCAGGGACACAGTCTTCTGTGAGGGCCGTGGATGACAAGCTGAAATAATCATGAAAGAAAAGCTGAACTGATGCAGTTGTTCTACCTAGGACTCAAAAGACTGGGTTGGTCAAGCTCAACTCTGCCATTTGTGCCCACTTATCTCCCCAACCTACCTGTGCCTGACCCCTATGTTTCACATGCTGGTGTGAGAGGAGTGGCCTCCACATCAGAGTTCCTTGGTACATAGTGAATTCTCCACTAGACATATCCAGATATTCTCCACTAGACATATACTTCACTGGCCTTATCAGACTGGTAAATCCAACCCTCAGTTTCTTAACTATGGCCCTCACCATGTACCAAGGTGCATGCTTAAGTGTATTACTAAACATGGTCAATGGATCTCTTTGCAGTTTTAAAGGTAAGCATGTTTCTGAGCACTTGCTGTACTCTTGCCTGTAAAGTATAATGCTGGCCATTATATTGTACAGCCAGCAGATAATCCAGTCAGTGTGAAGTACAATGCTTCATTTGTCATGTCAACAATTACACTCCAGAATATCTCTCCTACTGTACCTCAGTTTTTTTAGGGTGCACCCTTTGCTCTTCAGGCATGCAGCAAGTATTTTGACTCCTTCATCCCCCAAAGAATTGTACCGCAGACTCAGGGAGACTGCTGTGTTGCAGTGGAAGAGAGAGCAGATGCTAGTCATGCTTTCCTGGGTTAGGATGTTAGAGTTAAGGCTTTAAAAAGAAAGATACCAGGGAAAAAAGGTTAAACAAGTGGATTGAAAATCAGGTAAAGGCACAGACACACCTAAAAAAGGTCTTTGGCACCTAAAACAGGGTTTAGGAGGACTTTAGATGCCCAAGTCAAAGATCACCATTAAGTAGCCCCTCCTTAGCTGCTGCCAAGGTGACTTCATTTCTGACATGAAAGTTCCCTGAACACTTACAGTTCTCCCTTGTGAACATGTCCAGATCTACCCCAGCCTGAATGGCTTCAGCTGAAGCCCCAGCTGGATGCAAAAACTAGGTAGTACAGCATCTAAACCTCTTGAGGGGCCTGATGGAGTAGACTACCTACAGCATGCATCATGTACAATGATATTTTCTGCGCAAACCATAGAAGCCTCAGCCACTTTCAGGGAAGAGGAAGTTGGGTGCACCTGTGACTTTTTATACAATAGCCCCATGGTTAGTGCACTCACCCAGGGGTGGGGAGGCATAGATTATAGATCTCCTCAGCCTGAGGGACTCAAACCCATAGCTCCCACCTCCTAGGAGGGTGCTGCAACCACTAAGACATTATACATAAAATGTGAGGAAGCACCATTGCTGTTGCTGCTCAGTTTGTCCTAAGAGAATTGTAGGTGCTACCTTCAGGAGGGGGTTCTGGGATCTGGACCCTGAGTGGCTGCAGGTGCTTCTTCTGCATCCCTGACTCAGACCCCTAAGCTCTTGAGAGGGCTGGGAGTTCAACATTGCTTTTTCCTTGGTGTTTCCTACTGCCTAGCAGAGGTATGGCTAACATGGTTTGCACCCTGGGCAAAACTCTGCCAGAGGGGCAGAGGTGGTGAGATGGGTCTCAGATGGGGAGAAGGATGTCAGTCTTACCTGTCCCAAGGATACAAAGATCTCAGATGCTAAAGCAGCGTGGTGTCCCAGCTAGTACTAAGCAGCTGCTGCCAAGGCACAGGCTTCCTTGGGGATTGCCATTCCAGCATCCTGAGTTTTCACCTGGGGCTGGGGCTGTGCTCACTTACCCCTAGTTATGCTGTTGCTGGCTAGCTTTAGGCAGCTCCTTGCTTAGTGGGGAGGTTTTTTTGACTCATCCTTCTCACATGACTTAAGTCCTTCTTGCCTTAAGACCTTCTTCTCAAGTCCTTCTCTCACCAGGAGCTGTATATGGATTATTAATGCTTTGGATTTCACTTGGGGGTGGGGGCAGGGGAAGGGGCAGGCACCTCTAAGTTAGGAACCTGCAAATAAGGTACAAAATGTCTAAGTCCTTTTATGGATCTGTCCAACTGACCTTCACAATGGAAGGGGTTGGCTGATCTACCAAATATGTGGTACTTACATAGACATATCTTTTCTAACCCCCCTCCTTCCCCCCAGCAAAGCCACAGGATTTACCATTATGAAAAATTCATTAAGTCCTACTGCTGAGCATCTGCTGCATTTGATCCTAATGAAATTGAGACTGGGGGCTAAATACTCCGTCAGTGGATATCTGCATAGCCTTTTGATCTTGATACTAGCCACTGCTAGAGGCAGGACACTGAACTAAATGGAGGACTGCTCTGGCCATTCCTGTGTTACTATATTAAATATTTTGAAGAAGCCTCAATAGATCCCCTTTACCTCAATGACTGAAGTTTATACTCAGCGTTGTTCAGTTTCTCACATATTGTTTCCATCAGCTTGTCATCAATGGAATTGTCATCCATGACTAGGGTCATTGGTGTGAATCTAGAGGTGACCCACAGCATGGTGTCCACAATGTACTCTTTAGGGAGACAGGAGAGGATTGCACTATAAGGAAAAGCAGATTTTAATTGCAAAACAATGACCACAAAGAGAGAGACTGGTGCTTTACACCTGAGGTTTTTAAAGGACGTTACAAAAATGTGTACTAGCCAGGGAAACAACAGAAGCACAAAGGATTTAGAACCAACATTTTCACAAGAAGGCATTCATTCTGAGTGTCAAACTGGAAGGGGGCTCCACACCTAATTTTCAGAGCAGCTGGGTACCCACCACCTCCATTCATGTCAACTGAAATTGTAGGTGTTCCAATATCTCAAACTGAGCAACCCATATTAACACAAGTTTTTGTAAAATGTGGGTGTGAGTGACTAAGCCAAAATCATGCAGAGGCAGAAACAGAAAGTGTGTGGAAGTCCCAAGACAAGTCACAAGTCTCTTCTAAGACTTCAAGCACATTTGTCTCTCCTAGGCTGAAATGCCTCCCTTTGTCCAGACAAGGTTCTTTGGGTGAATCTGATATCTTTTGTTAGACCAACTAAAATAGTTGGAAAACAATTATTAAGCAAGCTTTTGGGTTCAAAAACCCTTCGTCAGGCTGAGGAAGTCTCTGCAGTTGGTGTGTGCTCTTCCTGGATGGAATGAAAAGTAAAGAAGCCAGAGGCTGGTCTGGTCTGCATACAAGACAGGCAGTCAGTGAAGATGTGAATTGAGGAGTCAGTGGGTGAGCGACAGGCTGGGTGGTGGGGAGAGAAGGGGGATGAATAATGGAGAGGTACCTAGGGAGTCAGATGTCAGACAGGTTATAATGTGTCATAAATCCAATGTCTATATTTAGTCCATGGTTTTTAGTATCCAGGAGGTTGATGAAGTGGAGTTCATAGGCTCGTCTCTGGGAAGTGTTTTGTAAATTCCCTTTGAGGATCAGGACTGAGAGATTGGAGAGAGAGTGGTTTTCTTGTGAGAAATATGCCCCCGCAGGTAGTTGGGTATTCCTGTCTTTGATAGATTTCCGGTGTGCATTCATTCTGGTACGCAGTTGTTGTTTGGTCTCTCCTACGTATTTTCCATCTGGGCATTTGGTGCATTGGATGAGATGTATTACATTTCTGGAGGTGCAGCTGTAAGATCCAGGAATGCTGATGGCTCTGTTGTGGGGTGTGGTAATTGTGGGGGTGGTGGACATGTGTTGGCAGGTTTTGCATTTCTTGTCATGGCATGGTCTGGATCCTTTTGGTGTGTTCTGGGCCTGAGGAAGTTTGCTTCTGGTGATGAGGTTAGCGAGGTTCGGTGCTTGTTTGAAGGCTAGTATGGGTGGCCCTGGGAACATCTCTCTAAGAATTGGGTCTCTTTTTAGTATGGGTTGCAATTGTTTGAGGATTTTCCGTACAGGTTCAAGGGAACTTGTCTGCCTATGTCCTTAGACCAACACGGCTACAACCTACATCCCTTTGTCCACTCAGTCTCACACATTCACCTTCCTATTCAGTTCAGTCTTTCTAAACTCATTAGCAAGGCCCTCATCTTCTTCACCTTTTAAGTCCTTCTTAGTGCGCACACAGGCCACATTGCTCTTAGTGAATCCTGTTAATATAAACAGACTACTCCTTTACATGTTTGTTTGCATGCCCCTAGTCCGCCAGCCCCTCAGAACTGGGATCATCCTTGTCTTGAATATACCTACCACACTGTGAACACTAGCACAAGCTATTGACAATTTGGCCTAGCAAAGTAACTACATACACATTTCCCCTTTCTTTTCTATTTCAGAGATGGGCCTGAATTACAAAATCTGGATCCAGACTTTTTTCCACAGTTCAAATCTTCGATTTAATACAGAGATGGAGGTATTGAACTAGGAACTGGGACTGAAATTCCCTGAAATTTTCACAGGTATGGATCTAGAATTTTGAGTCAAGCACTTCTCCAGTTAATGTAATTTATGCTTTACAACACACTTCACTGCTTTATTCTCTTTGTCTCTTTATGTATAACTAAACTCGGTGCCTTTTATCTTATTACCCTGAACTAATTACCCTGAACTAATGAAAATAGTTCTAGAAATAAACATGAACAAGGAAAAAAATATTTACATGCCATCTTCTCTATTTTTCTTTTTCTTTAGAAACCATGTCAACTGAAAACACTGGGGCTGTGTCCCACTTCTTCCCTTTCTTCCTTTGCTCTTCTTTTTCTTTTGAAGTCTGGATAAAATGAAATTTAAAAAAATTACTACTATGAGAAGAAAGTGCTAAAAGTAGTGCTTCTATATATATCTTTTACAGTAATTTACATATGAATCAAACCACTCCAAGATGATTAGATGAAAGGCTCCAAAGAAGTTCTGTCATTTAAGAGAAATAACTCTATGTTGATGTGCTTATCACATCAAAATAAAGACAGTGTCTGAAACATCACAGAAAATATTGCCTCTAAATAGACAACCCCCAAATTGCACAGTCTTCTTTCCACTACCGTGTCCCATTGCAAAATCATGTTTAAGTTACTCTACATTCCCTCCCATCTCTTGCACATGGTCATTTTCCAGAATTTTCATCAGCAGCCCAGTGAGTTTCCTAGCTAGGGACAGAAGTTACACATAAACCAGTTTAAGTGATTAGAAACTGGTTTAAACCCGCAACAGAACACAAGTTCAGTGCACGTAAACCAATTTCAAAATGACTGAAACTGGTTTAAGATAAACCTGGTTGAATGTATCAGACTTAACTGAATTAGGTCAAACTGGCTTATGAGACTTCTGTCTCGGACCCCTTCTTGGTTCAAGTTAAATCAGAGTCCTCCAGCATCTCAGCATGCTTTGCAGCCCTGGACTGGGCTGTCTGCTCCAGAGAGCAGGGCTGGCCCAGCCCCTCTGCTTCCAAGCTGGAGCAGTAAGAGCTGGATCACTTGCCTCACGGGCTGGCTCACTGGCTCACTATAAATCCCAGAGGCACCAGGAAGAAGAAGTGATGAGCAACCCTGCAGAGTCTTGCTTCTGTGATTCTGGACTGCAAATCCCAAAGACCTCAGGGGCAGCAGGAAGAGGAAGCAAACACATATCTGAGCTATATTTAATGCTCACTTTAGAGAAAGAACTATTCTTGTTCAAGATTTTATGAATTCAGTGCCACTACTTCTCCCCCCTCTACCCCCTTCAGCTGGGCAGGTGCATCTCCCCTCTCCAGGCAGACCCTCCAGCTAGCTCTGGGCTGGTGCCTGGCCATGCCCCCTCTGCTCAAGCAGGAAGTGGGGTGGAAAGCCATGGAGGACTTCTCTCTTCCCTTCCCTCTGGCAGTAGCTGGCAGGCGTGTTCTAGTGCCCCCCAGCTTCTGGCCTGAGCCACTGCAGGCATATGGCTGCATTTCCTGAATCAAAAGTGAATGTCTGTTCATTTGCTTATTGGTTCAATCTCTGCAGGTTAGACTAACTTGCAAAGACTGAATCGATTCAGCCTTGGGCTTTTTGACTGGCTGTACTTAACCACTGAGATCCATTAAAGCCTCTGAAGAGCCACACTACACTCATCAACTCAATGGTCTGACATTTCTGCTGTAACACTTACTAAATCTGACTCTGGGTTTCCTCAGGCCACTATGTTTCTTGTTTTAAGCCTATCAAATCCAATATACCATTCTGATATTACTATTGCAAATGTAACTAACTTTATAATTACAGCCTAAGCAACTACACTTGGATTCTGTTTTGCCAGATTTGGACTGGATGGAAAAGGGCTAGATGAAATTCTTCAAGCTGTTGATAACAAAACAGAAAAATATTGAAAAATATTTCAAAACTGATTTTCCTGTTTTTGTGTAGTTGCATAAACCAGGTACCCCCTACTCCCCACTTTCTTTAGTTTAATAGGATACTTGGGAAGAAAAACATTAGAAAAGTTCCTGAACTCTTGTGAATGTCCCAGTTTTTAATGCCTCCTAACTACAAAATTCCTCTTTCTCTTTACTTCACATTCAGTAGAACAAACTGTACTTTGGAGGCAGACCACATGTACAAGTTTTGAAGGTCTTAATTTATGTTTGTGGATTTGACAGCTAGACCAAAAGCAGTCTTGTAATGAAAAATTAGGATACCATTGTCTCTTTATGATATAAAAGGGTGTACATAGCCTAGGAGTGCTGAAGAAGGGACAGGATGCCCTAATCACTGTTTTGGGGGCTAAAATGTAGGAGGACCACCATCCTCATCCATCCAATATACACTAATCATGGGTTTCTGGCCAGCTATATTTTTAAATGCAGTTGCATGTCCAGAATTCACATGTGCACACAGCTGCTACCTGCCTGGCCAGTGCATTGCTTGCTGTTTATATTCAGGCTACAAGAGCACAATTACCTGTTCACACTTCAGGGGAAGTAGAATTGCTACCTGCACGTAAGTCCCAAAAATGCTACTTGTGTGGTTGGAAAGCTGCCATTTAGGTGCACAAAAGAAAACAGAATTACACCCCTGTCGTGGAGGGGGTGGGGGGCTTGCTGAAAGAATGAACATTTTCAGGTACATCTCAGGACAGACCAGGGAAACATATACTGAATTTCAAAAAAATTGGGAAGACACTATTTCTTTTCGGTCCCAGTTATAGAGCTAGTTCCATTGGCGTAATGCAGTGGTTCTCAATTTTTTAGACTCAAGCAGCCTTCATTGGACTCAAGGTATCTCTTGGAAAAATGCCAGGTCTTAGCTTTTACTTATTTTTTGACTACAGAAAAATAACAGCAATTCTTCTGTTGCAAAGATCTGAGAAAAAGCACAACAGGTCAGAATGCTTTTGATACTAGGGGTTTCTATTTGACATCTCTGGGTTTTTTATTTTGAGTCATTTGTAGGTGTTTGCAGCTATAACACCCTGGTTGAGAATCACTTGATGGAACTGTACTTGCTTTCTCTGGGGTTGATTTACCCCACAAAGTACCCATGTTCTCCCTCGTACTACATATTATTTCAATAGGTCAAAGAAGAATCGCTTAAAGCATACCTGTTGTCACTCTTTTCCTCATCCTTTGCCTCATATCCAAAATGTATATCATCCTCAGAATCTCTTCTAAATAAGAGTAATTTTCCTGGGCTATGGTGAGTGGCAAGATGCTCACAGATGTCCCGGAAAGCCTCGTGTTTGGGGTTCTCAATGTTGAAGCTTAGGAGAAAGTAAAGTTGCATGAGAACACATGGCAAGACTCCCCTAGTTGTCATGAGACCATGGGCTTGTGCCCCTGAACCATGACATGGAAATAGATGGAAGTGGACCAAGTCTGTCTTCAAGAAGAATCTGCTGGGTTTTTTTTTTAAGAAGATGGTGGCTGGTCACACAAGAACTGGTGATCCTGTCTGAGAATTTGAAATGACAAAAGACTACTCACGCCAGTGATTCCAGTTTGCACTCTGACTCCAGAAGACTATACTTCAGGGCAGTGAGGAATGCCTGCCTTCCCTGAATCCCATTCACATCAAGTCTAACTATGCCAGGATGAGCTGGAATAATCTGGTCACAAATTGCAGTGACAGTTTCTTCAGGGAAGTCATCAAAAGTTATTCTGAAAACATAATGAGATTATTTTGGTTTGTGACTTTTGACAGAGTAGGAAAATAAAATGAGAAATGGCAAAAACAATAAATCTCCATGTGGGCAATTTGAAATGTAATGGCTTGCTGGTTTTAATGCTTGTGCTAATACTCATTCAATTAAAAATTCTGAGACATGTGAGGAACTGGTGCATCACACTGCGAAGAGAAACCAAAGGTGATGTGAAGGGACTTGCCCATCCTCCCAGATGGATTAGAATCATAGGTGCCAACTTTTTATTTTTGCAGGGGGTTGGTGGTAGGGGGAGGCTAAGGTGATGGACATGTGGAAAGTTTTATGCATTTCAGGTGACAGCCCTCTTCCCAAGGGAGGCCAGGGCCCTCAGGCCCCCACATACTCAGCACCTCTGATAAGAACTCAGGAAAATACTGAGGCCACATTCACCCCTGTGATGAGTGTCTAGGCTACAAGTGAGTTTTACATGAACTTCTAACATAGGGTTTGCAGGGAATTATGGGGAGAACCAGTGAAACACCAGCCTTTTGCAATGTAGTGAGAATTCATTCCACATGACTGAAAAGTAAATTGCTGAACTGGACAGTATACATTTATTGGCCTCTTTCAATACTCTTGCCATTGGCCATCAAAAAATCCTACAAAACAGACCTCTCTGGCTGCTTCCCCAATAACCAAGCATTCTATAGTCATCACCCCAAGTGATGTATCTTGTATAGCAAACACTGTAATGTTTGGAGCTAACAGTCTCCCTTTACATTTATCCTTTGGACTGAATGAGAAAAAATAAAACTGTGTTTACGTGCATGGGTCTCTCTCACGGCTTGCTTCCACTATACAGTTCATTCTGTCATCTCCTTCATACACCAACTGCAGCCTGGTCATTCTAAGACTTTGCAAAACATGAGCACACACCATGTTTACAGTGGACAAGGAGAGTCCAGAGGCAGTCAAACTACAGGAAGAAAATCAGATTTGAAGGGTTACTGTCTATAGAGGAAGGTACAGGAGTTGATCCTCAGCTAATCTGAAGGAGCTTTTAAGCTCTGTTTTAAGTTAGAGAAATGGATATCATCACAGGTTTGATTGCAATAAACTCCCATGGAATTTATATCTTGAGTACAATACATAGCAACTCGATATCAAACACAGGAAATAACGGAAAGGGGCATGCTACAGAAGGTAGTTTATTAACGGATAATTGGATTTTCCTCATGGAAACAGAATTGCTATGATAGGAGCAGAAAAGGTGGGGGAGTAGGAGGGGGCTGGTGAGGGAACAGGTTGGGAGGGGCAGGACAGCACATTTGGAAAGTCCACAAAACAAAACCAAAAAAAAGGAAGCAAAGTTAAGGTATGGGAATTGTGCTGTCTGTTGGGGCTTCAGGAGCAAGAAGGGTAGAGTTACAGAGAAATGGCAGAAGGTTGGGTTAGGTCAGAATGAAGGATGGGAACGGGGACAGAGGAAGGGGAGAGGGATAACTAGATAATAGTTTTAAATTGACTCTAAACATGCCACTGAAGATGTCCATGCTTACTGTTTCTCAAGGAAAACTCACCCCAAGCCATGAGGTTCCTTTCTAATTCACATGTGATCCCAAGTAATGATGACTTTTCAGAGCAAATTTTGCTCTGGGTTTCCCCTTTCCAACACTATGTGGGCTAATTTTGATCTCAGAGATAATCCTCACTTTACACCAAGGTGAGTCACCTTCTTGTCAGTCACCTTGCTTGTACTTACTAGATCTGTTTGCATTTCCCCAACAAAGGAAGCAGCTTTATCACGTATTTCTCTTTCAGCCCACACCGAACCAATGTGAGTCTATGGAACTCTTTAGCATGCTGCAGGCTGTAAAGAATCACTTGCTGGTCATCTTGCCCTAGGTTGTTCTCCAGGAAGACCATTTCCTTGACATCTTCCAAGGCATTTCGGACAAACTCCTCATCCTGTATCTCAAACAAACAGTGCAAAAGTTCCAGAAGGAAATGACTCTGACCATCCTGTCCCTGGCAAAAAAGAAATGATTTCTTAGTCCACTTCAGCAGCTCCCCCATTGGGATGCCTGTACCAGTGACTGTGTAGTATTTTTTCAGAGGCTTTAATGAACTGTCATTGTTCAGTCCAAAGAGAAAGCGAATGGTTAAGCTCAAATGGCTTTTCTTTTCTATGAAGGCTTCTTTCAAGAGCTTAAAAGCTGCCTCCTTGTTTGAGAAGGTGAACAAGGCAGCAAACAGCTCCTGTATGGTCAAATGGACAAAACTATAAACGGCTTCCACAATAATGTCTCCTTTTAGCAGTTGTGTAAGAAAAGTTGATGTACCTTTGGACACTTCCAAGTTATACTTCTTCAACGTGGTTTCCTCAAACAGCACTTCTTGGTCTTTCATGCCATTGTAGGCCAGCAATCCAAGGTTATGGAAAAGATGTTGTGTATTTGTCTGTGGGCGACCATGGGATTGCAACAGTACAGTCAAAAAATGGGTAAATATTTGGGTGGTGGTGCTTGCCTTCTGAACAAGGTCTTCAACAGAACTCAGATGGAGGCGCAAGCTTGTACAGACAATCCAGCAAATAAGGGGAACAAAACACATAGTGAACACCACATCATTGTCTTGGATGTAACTGTAAGCAAGGGCTGCTTTTTCTTCATCTCTGAAGAATTTTTTGAAGTATTCCTCTCTGTCTTCTTCCAAGAAGCCCATAATCTCTGCCCAGAGGTCAGCTTTCAGATGGGTCTCCAGCATTTCTAAAGCTGAGGGTCTTGTTGTGACAAGCAGACATACTTCTGAAAGGCTTCTCCAGCTGAGGAGGCTTTCTACCACAGCTGCCGCTGTTGATTGAGGTGTGTCCAGATCACAGGATAAACTTTTATTTTCATTATCTTTGGGAGACCTGAGTTCATCAAAGCCATCAATAATGAACAGGACTTTATCTGGGCAAGACAAAATTTTCTTTATCTCTGGTTTTGGAGATTTCCAGTTTTGTAAAATTAATTCAGCAAGGCTCAGTGTTTCTGTTCTGTGATTTAGCTCCCTACAGCTCCAGTGAAAAATATAATCAAATTTCCCTTGGTAAAGTTTTCCACATGCCCAGTCATACATAATTTTGCAAACTGTGGAGGTCTTGCCAATCCCTGCAACTCCTTGCAAGATCACTTTTTTGGTACTTGTGCCATCTGCTAATGTGTCAAAAAGGTGTTCCACGGTAATGTGGGAGTCCTCATCATTTCTTGGCTTCTTCATGATCTCAGTGTGTCTCCTGCCTCTGGACAGCAGCTCATGTTCTTTATCTTGTGTCTCATGGTGTTTTTTTACTATAAAGAGCCTTGTGTAGCGGTCTTCCAAAGACACCCACTCTCCTGGTTTAGCGTTATAATCCTTTAGTCTTCTAAATTGTTCCTTAATGGAAGCTATATAGTTTCCCCTGTGGTCTGGAAAAGAGACAACAAAAGTTCATCAACTTTCTAATCTATTTTACGAATCCTTAAATGTGCCATTTTAACTTGGGCAACCAGTGTTTTAGAAAACATTTTAAACCAGGCAAGGGCTAGCTTGGATGTGAATCTAAGTTCCCACACAATTCAGAGGTCTTCCCAAATTAGATTCTGGTTTCTACCTAGACAAAGTATACTGTGGAAATATCTACCACATCTAAGTCCACTAGAACTCTCTTAGAGGAGAGTTAATTGTTCCCACTGAACCTCTTCACTAAAAGGTAAGGTTTCACTCTAGGCAGAATTATGCCCTGGACATTTCAGTGGATGCAGGACTTTCACTACTTTATTGTGAAGGAACTTGCTCTGTATTTTATGTCAGTTTGCTGTTACTCATTAAAACAAAAAAATGTTTTTAAAAATACCAGTTCTCACTCACATGGGGCACATCAACCTGAGATGCTATGTCACCGTAGTGACGAGTTACAGGAACATAGCATCTAAAAATAACTATGTGCCACCAGGACTGTGCAGTATCAGTGGGTACTGTGCAGTCGTTTGGTACTTGCTAAAGCAAATGACTGAACAGTACCAAATGCACAGTCCCGGGCATGTACAGACACGCCCATACGGTTTGAAATATGAAAAAATACATATGACAACAGGGCAGTGACTTACCAATGTTTGGGACCTTTGCAGACATGACTCTGGTGTTCCACACTGCATCGTGTCTTGGTTCCTGGAGAATGTCTGTTTGATATGACAGGACAAGATATATATCATTTCTAGGGTGTCTCTAGAGAGACATGCAGAGCTCAGGCTCATCTCTTCAGCTGTGTTCAAAGTATGCTCAGTACAATTCAGCAGGACAGGTTTCAAGGTGGGCTTCAGGAATTGCTTGTATGCTCAGAAGCCCTGAACATCCCTATTTACTGGCAGCCAAAACGGAGCTACTCTATATGGTAAGTGGGTTCAAATGCCACCCTCCATCACTGTGAACAGTGAGCATTGAGTGAGGTGACTAAAATCCATCACGTATGCTGCATTCTCTCTCTCATCCTCTCTCTAAGCGGAAAATCATGAGCCCAATGGAATTATATCATTTTCTTTTATTTATGGTTTTGTTTCTTGGGGATTTGTTTGTTTCTGATTTATTACCCACACTGCTGTGTGCTTATATGGGAGAAGGCAACACTCTGTCATGGAAAGGGTTGACTTGTATTAGAGTGATCTCCCATGGTTTTAAGGTACTTTGCACCTGCACAGTGCACACTATAACACAGAATCTAGCCCAGGGTATCTCTCTCTCTCTCTCTCTCTGCCTTCATAGGAAATAATACTGGAGACAGTTATTATCAACACCCACCTTCAGCTGATGCTTTTTTTAACCAGTCAGCAAGCATCTTATTATTGATATCATCCAGCACATTTATCGCCACCTCCACAGCGTACTCCTCTTGGTAGTATTCAGTCAGCAGAATGACCAACTGTACTACATCAGCTTTCTCCAGATGTCCCTTGGGGATGTTTTTATAACCTTTCCTCAAGTCCATATGATTGAGTTTAAATTTAAATTTCTTTATCTCTTCCTCTAACAGCTCGTCCAAGACATGCAGCAGGAGGTCGTGCTTTGTTTTTCCCATTGCATCTAATGCAAGTCAGTAGCCTTCAAGAATATAAAGGATTAAACAAAAACCAAAAAACAATCTGTAGAATGCAATCCTGGAAAACTGAGGAAGGTGAGAAGCATCCTGATGAGTCACGTTCAAAGCAAGCAGGCACAGATGAACTGACCATTTGGGAAGTTCCTTGGATGAATTATAGCTTCACAGCTCTGTTGACTTCACTGGAGCTATGATAGTTTACATTAAGCTGGAGGTCTGGCTCTTCAGTGCTAGGAGAAGTATTCAAATGTAAGTAACTCAGTAACATAAAATGCTTTCATCAAAAAAGTATCTGAAAGCAAGAACAGACTGTGCTGGGATGCATAGCCTGTTCGGTAAATAGTCTGTTACTCTGCTTGCCTCACTGCCTGCTACACAAGTAATACCCCTATTTAAAACTGAATATTGATTCCAGTCAGACAGACATAGAGGTCATTTAAGTGAACAGGCTGGTGGGGGAATCTCAACTAGAGAAGAGGGTAATTAAGGACCATGGAAGAAATGAGGCAGGGGGACCATGTCCACAGAGTGGAGGCATGTCCACCATACTATTTGTTTGCAGTGTAGTATCCTGGCTTGTGCAACTTCTCTGCTCTTCCCGCCCCCATCCCCAAATGGAAACCCTTTTTAGCTTTTCAATTAATTTCATAAGTGAACTATGGCATCCACAAATTCCTGCTGCTTATGTGTGTCTCAGTAAAAGGTACAAAGAATCACAGTGTTTATGTCTAATTATTTTTTACCCAATTCTGCAAACCCATCAAAGCGCTTCTGAGCTGCATGCAACAAGACCCTCCAGAGAGGTTGCTTTTTACATATGATATCTTTCCCTATGGGTACTTTATCTACAGGGTTGTCAATGCAGTAGCAAGCATCTGAAGTGTCACCTAAGGGATAGGGGTGTGTGAAGTGGGCTTTATTCAATACTGATTCGGATTTGGCCTGAATCAGGGACAGTAATTCAATTCGTTGATTCAGATCACTGTCCCTGATTTGATTTGGCAGAATCCGAATCTGAAGATTCGATGCTGAGTCAGAGAATCAGTGATTCAGACATAGACACAGCTTTAAATGTTTTTTCTACATACCTCGAGGTACCAGTGCTGCTTGTGAATGCTGCAATGGTGGGGTGGATGGAGCGTCCCACAGGAGCGTGGGGGGGCCCTCCACGTGCTCAGTGGCAAACCCAGAAGTGGAATGGACATACTTCCGGGTCTGTTGGGGAGCATACTGGGGGCCCCCCCACACCCCTCCAGCTTGGTGATCGGCCACGGGAAGACCCCAGGTGCCCCCCCCAGACCCAGAAGGCACCAGTTGCGAAACTGGGGGGGGCGCAGGGGTACCCCTCTGCACACTCCCCAGTGGACCCAGAAATGGACTGGAAGCTCTTCTGGCCCACTTCTGGGTCCATTGCTGAGTGCATTAGGGAGCCCCCCACACTCCGGTGGCATGCTCCATGCCCCCAGCATCGTAGTATTCATGAGCCACCTGGTACCTAGAGGTAAGTAGAAAAAACATTTATAGCCATGTCTATGTCCAAATCGCCAAATCTTTCCAAATCTCTCCAAATTGATTCAGAGGGTTCTGATTCGATTCAGGGAAATTAAAGGGTCCTCTGATTCAATTTGGGTTCAGAGATTTGGCCACTGAGTCGGGCGGAATCTGCACCGAATCGAATCAGGGACTGAAGCTTTGTACAGTCCTACTAAGGGACAAACAGATCAGTCAACCATGAGATGGGTCTCTAAAGGAGTAAATAAAAGACAATGGGAAACTTGAACACTTTGAAGTGTGTAACAACTAACTGGCAGGTTCAGTGGCTTTTCTGCTGTTCCTATGAAACCTTGTACTGCTCCCAGTTAGTTGCTCTCTTGGACTGCAGAGCTGAAAGCCAGAAAACACAATACATGGGAAAATATGAACAGCTTTGAGGCTCAGCCATATGTCATTCACCATACAATGCAAAGAAACAGGAAGCCTAGGAACACCACACAAGGAAGGGAGCAAAATCATGACCCAACCAGGAGGCTGTTAGATCTGCTGTGCTCCAGCCTAGAAGGTGAGGGGGCAGAAGTCCAGCCCAACAAAGACTGCTCCATAGGCCAAACCAATTCATTAAACCAAGTTCAGCTGGTTCTTATTTTATTTACCCTTCAGTCATGTCTCCTTTTGGCAGTGTGATCTCATTGTTAAAGCATGTACCTGAGAATCAGGACTACTGGATTTACAGTTAAGACTCTGTTACTAGGTCACACCTGTGAGCTGGGAACATCAGCTACACTCTATGTAAAATGGGGATACTCATACTTGCCTTCCTGTGTAGAGGGCTTTGAGGTCTTTGGATGCAAAGCTTCTATATAAGTGCTATGAATTATTATTATTTATAGCAGCAGTGTCTGTCAAACCTGGCACTACAGGATATATCAAGCTCAGTAGGGAGAGAGGCCGGTACTAACTCTTACAATCTTTTGAAGTGATTCTTCTTTAGGTTGTATACCCCTAAATCACAAGATGCTTCAGTCTGTCTGAGGACTCAGATGAGGCTCAGATAGCTACAAGAAATTATAGCATTTATGCTGTGTACGGTAAGTCACCCCCTTAAAAATCTAAGTACAACAAAAAAAATCTACAGCTGCAACAGGCCAGTACACACACTCAGAAGAGAAGGTCTGGGTGCATCTAAGAAACAGGCCCATGGCCATCACCAAATAGTGGGATTCTGGGGTGCCTGGTAGGTAGCCAGCAACCTCGCCCAGCCCTTCTAGTGACTGCCGCAGGTTCCTCGAGAAGAGGAAGGTTCCTTGTACAGAGGATAAGCCTTGCAAGCATATAATTAACTATATACAGGATTTAATTATATACAATATAAATTACAAATAACTAAGCAGGTTTAACTCATAAAGATTATTAAAGAGAACATACAATACACACCCAGAACCCTGGTAATAATGACAGTCACAATGTATAACTTTTTCTTTGAACACCCCTAACTCAAAAGGAGAATAATAATCACAGAGAGATAACAAGGCACCAACATATTTAGCCAGTTGAGTTACAGACTTTTAGGCTTGCCCATTAGATTTACACATCTAATCAATAACTTTTATACACAAGGATGAACATGATGGCTCTCTGCACACTTAGCAGCCTGGGGCAATGCCTTGAGAGGACTGGTGATTTCTGTGTTGGAAACACATAGAAAAGGGGGAGACAGTCTTCTTTCACTCATACTGTTATGATATAGTAGTAACTCTACTGAAGTCAATGGGCAACACCATGTAAAACAGGGGTGGGCAAAATGCAGCCCACCAGGCCATTCTATCCAGCCCGTGAGGCCCCTAAAAAATTTCAAAAATGAATATTTATCTGCCCCTGGCTTCCTCTCATGCAGCCCTCAATGGCTTGCCAAAACTCAGTAAGCAGCCCTCCGCCCAAAATAATTGCCCGCCCCGATGTAAAACCAGTGCAAGCATGGGAAACTTCAGGCCTAGAGTGTTCCAAAGATTAAGAAAAAGGGATAGTTCACTGACTTTCTGACCTAAAAAAAATTTTAATTTTACAGTTCACAGATAGGATCATATGGTTCTCTCTTCTAGGTTTTATATAAGGATCTCACTAAAAACAGGTCTTGCTTATGCTGAAAAGAGATCTTAATTCAGAGGAAATGAAAGGGTAGAAGTCTTAGAGAGAGCTATTTTGCTCCCCATGGCTTGTTTTTCAGCAGTTGAGCTCTTTCCTAGTACTGACCTCTGGAAAAGCATGCAGAGTATGTGAGATTGTAAGCAGTACTAGTGCTTGTAGAAGAAGTTGTCAGCCGCCTTCCATTATAGAACTGTTTCAGTTGCTTGTTCCTTTGTCAAAAGTTAACCATTTGGGTTGAAGGTTTCTATGCTGGTGTCTGCTTCAAGCTGTTTTGGGTTTGGAAATTTCAGCTATTCAGTATTTGTAAGAATGAGATTAGGGGAATCCATAATGTTGCTACGATGTTAACCATAATGTTCTGCCCATATCATAGAATCATAGAAAATGAGGGTTGGAAGGGACCTCAGGAACTCATCTAGTCCAACCCCCTGCTCAAAGCAGGACCATCCCCAACTAGATCATCCCAGCCAAGGCTTTGACTGCCCAGGTCTTAAAAACCTCCAAGGATAGAGATTTCACCACCTCTCTGGATAACCTGTTCCAGTGCTTCATTATCCTCCTCATGAGAAAGTTCTTCCTAACCCTATCTAACCCAAACTTCCCTTGCTGCAACTTGAGAGCATTGTCCTGTCCTCTGCCACCACTGAGAACAAACCAGCTCCATCCTCTTTGGGACCACCCTTCAGGTAGCCAAAGGCTTGTTATTAAATTGCCCCCCAGTTTTCTTTTCTACAGACTAAATAAGCCCAGTTCCCTCAGCCTCTCCTCATCAGTCATGTCCCCCAGCACCCTCATCATTTTCGTTGCCTTCTGCTGGACTCTCTCCAATTTGTCCATATCCTTTCTGTAATGGGGGGCCCAAAACTGGACATATTAAAAAAAAAGATTTTATATATATATTTATTTAAAGATTTAAATATTTAAAGATTATATATATCTTTAAAGATTTTAAATATAAAATGTATTTATATGTATGCCCCAACCCTTCACAGCAAGAAAGTGCCAAACAGAAGGCCCATGCATTATGCTTCAGTACAAATGAGCTTGCAGGCTTCCCCTGCAGTTTGCCCAGCAGCGGGGGCATTGGTTTCTCACTGTTATGGGAATCACTGGTTCCTGTGTTCTTAAGGCTCCCCTGGCTGGTGCCTAAGCAGCATGGAAGAGGAGGAGGTAAGAGCCCGACTCAACAGCAGTAAGGTGAGAAAAGGTGGTTGAAATGGAGAGGAAGAGAGAAAGCAGACAGGGCAGAAGGTGGGGGAAAGGAGCAGGAGAAGAAAGAATACAGGTATGAGGGATAGGGAAATTGGCAGCAGCTGGGGGACAGAGGGTTGAAAGAAGAAAGGAGGAAAAGGCATGAGCGTTGGGGATATCAACAGAAAGTGACAGGAGAGGCTACAGAAAATAGGCAGGGGCAGAGGAGTCTGCAACCACTCGAGAACGCTCCCCACAGAGCCTGGCCTGGAACTCAGGAATCCGGGGTCTCGGGGTTCCCCTTGCCGTCAGCGTACAGCTGCAAATGTTACTAACAACGTGCATCCCCAGCATCCCCTAGCAACAGCTTCAAAGAGAGGATAATAGCCTTTTATTG